AGAATAAATGTTAAGTGTGAAATTTTTTTTAACTTTAAGTATTTCTTGAGCATTAAATTAAAATCTTCCTAGGAAAATGTTTTATTTTGATTTTAGAGTTGTGGCATTAGCAGTAACTAATTACCGAACTGTGCCTTCAAAGTCAATAAATGTTTGTGCCTACCCTGCCAGGCAGTGTTTTGGGTGTTTTCACAGTTCAGCATTATTTAAGCACTACGACTGCAATTTTGTAATGGTATTATCTACAGATAAGTTGTGACTGGTCAGAAGTTACATATCCAAGTAAGTTTCTAACCTATGACTCCTGACTCCAAGTTCAGAACTTGATTAGCACAGTCTTTGTCACTCATGACTACATAATCTTTTAAGCTACCCAAATTTACATTTTATTGTAAACAAAAAGAGACCTAAGCAACTAAATGAAAGGAGAAACTAAGTAATAGGGAGAAACTCATTTCACCCATAAAGATTTTTATAAATAGACAAATAAATAGATACATAAAAAGTATAAATGAAGTAGATTTATGCTCTTTAGCATTTGTTTACTTAGTTTCCTCTCAAATTCTAGAAAGAAGCTTCTGTTGATTTGCTTGTTTGGAATAAATAGTGTTTTTTTATGGGCTGATTTACTTGATTATTACTTTTCCTTCCTTAACATCCTTTACTCAGTACTTTGGGACCACTGTTCTTCCATCTTCTCTCCCCTGTCCCTACCCTCCTAGCTTTGGTCTCCAACCAGGTACACTAATCCATTTGAAAAAGGACAGGGGTGTGTATGTATGTGTGTGTGTGTGTGTGTGTGCATGCTCATGCATGCATGTGTGTATTTACATTTAAATTATGCCTGTCCATGCTGTGCCATCTAGAATTCTAACCAAAACTGCGGGAATATCCCAGTTGCACCCTGGGTATTGGCCACTTCAAGAGCAGGCAGTTTGATTGAAGTTTTTTTCAGTGTTACTGAAAATTAGGATATACATTTTAAGAAAAGAGCTTCCCCAGTTCGGAGTCCCTTAAAGTAAAATTAGCTGAATATTTCATCATCTAGAATTGCTAGATTACAAGTGTCTTTTAGTTGATCCTGAGTTCAGTCTTTTAACTATAGGTGCTTGACATACCCTTGTCCCCAGAGTTTAATTGGAAAGGAATTACAGTTTTACTATCGAGATGAGAATTAGAATCGTTTATGATTCTTGGAAAGATTCTTTGAAAATTACTCAATGAGGTTTAGCTTTATATTTGAAATTCTTATGGCAAAAACTAGTTTAGAGTTGAAATTCTTAGCATATGTCATTTTCATACTTTTGATAGTAGCAATGGTTAATTTTCTGTCATTATATAATAAGACTGTTTCCAGGTACTTGGTTGACAAAACTTGTTTAAAATTCAAGTGTCTATAGTAAAATACATTGCTTAAATGATAGCTTTTAACTTGGACTGCCTCATCAACTCAATTTCAGTATTTTTCTTCTCAAAACTTTTTTACATTTAATAAGTCTATGAGATTTATGTAAAAACATCAACTTGGCTAAACATATAGTATGCAATACATTGTAGGCACTGAAAATATTTAAAAAAAGTTTGTTTTTACCCCTAGTCTCATCTATTTATTGTTTTTCCTTTATTTTTATATTATATTTTTATTATTTATATTGTTCTTTTCAGTATTATCATGTGATGTTAAATTTTATTTGAACCACTGCTCCTGAAATAGCATGTGCAGAGATCTGAAGCACCATGGTATGTTTTGAGAAATGTACAAAGTCCAGTATGGAGAGAACCTATCTGTTGCATCTTTATTGGTAGGAGGAGACCAGAGCTGGGTCAGAAAAGACCCTATGAGAATGCAGTTGTCCAGTTAAACCAAACCCAGCAACCTACATTCTTTCTTTCATACTTCCTTCTTAATTTTGTGTCCGTTCCTTATCAAAACAATTACTTAGGGAGTAAGTCTACCTAGATGTATTTTAAAAGCTGTAAAATTTTAGTATCGCTTTTTAACTTGTTTGGACATTAATGTTTGTAAATGAGTTATATAGAAGAGTTAATGCTGTTATTAAGATATTTTAAAATGGCCTGTTAATTTTCTTACTGTAACAGCTTTGAAACCTTGAATATAATTCTGCAATATTTTGTTTCAGAAATTTAAAAAAAATGTTTCTTTGATTTATCTAAGATGTTAAAATACATTAGTATGCTACATCAGTTAGTTTTGGAATGCAGTATGAGTACATGGTTTCCATTCAAATCTTGAAGTTGCTTAGGAGTTTCCTGTTCTTAATTTGGGGGATTTTTTGTTTTTGTTTTTTTGAGTGCTTTTGGTTATTCTTTTAGTTTAATCATCTCTTAAAAACGTAGTAGAGAGCGATCATTTTATTTTATTTTGTTTGTCCTTTTTATTACTGATAACTGACTGGCCTCACCTCCATCACCTCCAATGACTTATCTTCCCATTAGGTTGCTGCTGGTAGCAGTCCATGGGACAGGGCCAAGTTAGAAATTTGGCAGTACTATGAATTGCAAGTCAGCTTTAAAAGATCTTCAAGTCCATAACTTAATGAAAAGATTTCATTTGTAGGAATCAAATGAAGTTTCTGATTTAAGGGATTAAATATAATTCTGACCCTTCTTACTGGCTTTAGTAAATATATATATAGTATCTTGCTAAACCATAGCTAAAAACCTGCTTATATGCATTGACTGGGTTTTGAGTAGGAAGCATTTATAAAAGTAAATTATTGCTATATCATTCAGGTTGAAAAATAAACTTATGTGCTGGACTTTTTTTTTTTTTTATTGCTTCTGGAAGGTAGGTTGGCATAGCAACATGAGAGTGGGTTTTAGAGTTGGACATGTGAGATCAACTATCTGTCCCAGCACTTTTAGTCTTTGATATTTTATGTTAAGCAGATCACTTTAATCTCCCTGCATGAGCCTCAGTAAAAGGAGGCAACTAGTCAGTCTTTTGAGTAGATCAGGATGAAAAAAAGTAACATCAAGTGCTTAGCATGGTACTTACTTGGAATGTTGTCAACAAATGTTAGTTTAGCCCCAGTACCACCCTCTTCCCCCAACAGTGCTCTACAGCAATATTATAGCAGAAAAGTGCTGTAATTCCAGCTAGAAGATCTAGATTTTGGGTCTGAGTTCTAGTCTCTTATTGCACATATTCTTGGGTCCAGTCACTTGACCAGAGGACCTCTATTTTCTCCTTTGTAGACTAGGGTTCTGAAAATTCAACATGGTAGTAAGTGCATCAGATCTAGGCTTTCATTCTTTATTATCTAACATATTTATATGCTGCTGTATTTCCCACTGGTTAACATTATTCTTATTTGAAGCTGCACTTCAGAACATTAACCTGATGAATGTGTGTAGGATGCATTGATTTGGAGGCACAGAATATAGGAAACAATGTGGATGTCCTTCCAGGAAGTTGTATACATAATACAGAGCCATTAAGTGGTTTAAAGCTGTAGTGGGAACTCAGGACGTTGCACTAATGTGGTAAAATGATAAGTTAAAAAGATGGCTGTGGCTGCAGTGATTTCATTGGGCTGGGGCCTTTGTTTCTGTTCATTAGTTTCTTCCTACCTACTCTTGTAGAGGCCTTACCCATGTGCAGTTCTGCCACCATCAGTTTTCTGAAGAGTGACCTACATTTTGTAACCTGTGTTCCCCACAATTTACAATAGACCTAAATCTCAGAAACATGTAATTTTTCTGACAGTGGACTTGAAAGATTTTCATCACTTGAATCTACCCTTACAAACACGAAATTAGTTTCACTTTCTCTTTAGCACATAATTTTTAACTCTAGCTGTGCCTTTGTAATCTTCTATTCCCTGCTTATTAACCTTTACATGAGCTGTTCCACAAAGCCAGGGTGTGACAGAACTTCTCCATGCTTTCTTGTTCCTTGGAAGCCCTTTTATAGATTGCTTTTATTAAAAATTTCCTGATCAGTCATCCTGAAGTAATTTTAATTGTTTTATAACATGAATATGTGTGGATTACTCATAATTTGTTAGTTTTATATAGCTTGAGTATTCTTTCTTTCTTGTAACTATGAATTATCAAACTTGAAGCAAATGTAGGTTTAAAGTGTGATACAAACACTTCTTACTGTATTATTTTAATAATGAAATGTTTTTAATGTTTTTATATAAGAAAGTTGGGTGGGGTGAGGAGGAACCTGCCAAGATAATCACAGAGTAGCAGTAAAACTTGATAGTTAGCCACCTATCTATTCATTTATATGTATGCTCTTCAAAGAAATAAACTTTGGAAACGGAAGGAGCTCTTTAAGTTAATGACTTCCATGTAATTAAAATGATTCAGTAATATTAAGACTAGGAGGGGCATTGTTTGTAGGAACCCCTGCTGTGTCAGTTAGTGAATTCCTTTTATACAGGTGTATGGGTGATTTCCAGCTCTCATTCTACACAAAAGAGAATAGTTGGTTAATTAGAGGTGGACCTGGCAAATATCTGTCTTAGGTTATTTTTCTTTTTTTTTTTTTTTTTAAATATATTTTATTAACTTTTTACAGAGAGGAAGGGAGAGAGATAGAGAGTTAGAAACATTGATGAGAGAGAAACATTGATCAGCTGCCTCCTGCACACCTCCTACTGGGGATGTGCCCGCAACCAAGGTACATGCCCCTGACCGGAATCGAACCTGGGACCTTTCAGTCCGCAGGCCGACGCTCTATCCACTGAGCCAAACCGGTTACGGCTATTTTTCATTCCTTGAGAAGAAAATTGAAGAATAATTGGGTCAGATTTTGGGGGGTTTTTAGTAGATCTCAATGAAGCAAGAGCTGTCATTCTGACTGCTGGCATATACTCCTCATTCATATAGGGTTCACATGAAAAATGACAGTGTTACATAATCGTAGTGGCAGCTTTGTTTTTCTTAGTCATGGCAGCAGTTAACACAGTGTACTAGTGGCTTAACATACCAACATTTAAGTCCTTTTTTTTGTTTTTGTTTTTAAGTCATTGAAATTATGAGACTATCATTCAAATGGAAGCATTATAGTTCTTCGGAACCATTATGATCTCAAAAGGAAAAGAGAATGATACAGATACACTGGCTGAGGTGTTTTGAGGTGCATCGAAGTGTCCCAAGCTGTGACTTACCTTAACATGTTCTTGAAGTACCATGGCGTGGATTAAAAGGTATGCTTTAGAAATCTCCCAGTGACCCCAAGGTCATGGATAGAATGAACGTTCATGATTCTGTGTTTAATTATCTTGTATTTTCAGATATTCTAATATTAGATTGCAGATGTGGTTATGGATTTATGGCAGTAGTATTTTTGTAAGGAAAAAGTTATATATCACAAACTTGATGAGTGAATTTTCTTTCTTTTTGAAATGGTTAGAGAAGACAGTAGTGTAGATATTTCCCCTAGATTTTAATAGTAATGATTTGTAATTTCTTTAACCAGATAGTTTAGGATTATTCATGTGTTAGTCTGTAATTATCTTTCTGGTTTGTGTCAGACTAGTTTCTCTGCAGTGCTGTAATTTCATGGTAGGTAGCCTGAACGGGAAGTAGTTGGGGTATTAATTTTACCAAACAAAATAATTCTTACTTGGACCATTCATAGTTTGTGCTTGCTTTGTCTTACACAGAATTTTTTACTGGGAGGAAAATGAATAATTATTAATAGTGGTATTGTATGTATACAGTTAATTATTCATGTGTTTGTGGTATGTAGTCCTACTGTTATTTGTGGTTGCTAGTAGTGGTGATTCCAGGTTTTGTATTACCCACTTAACCATCAAAAATCTTTTAGGTTTTTATGTTTATAACATTTAATTTGAGTGATGTAGGTAAAACCATTTCTTTATTATTTAAAACCTTGGAAACCTCCTAGTTTTGTACTGTGTGCTTGCTACTAAATGATTTCTTAAGGGTGGTAGAAGTGAATCAATCCAGGCAGAATGCTGAATTCATTGTTACATTGGGTTCAGAATTATTTATCTTTTAGGTAATGAAGGAAAATATGTTGGGAAGATAGAGTTTTAAATCATGAATAGATAAATTGAATAGAATACACTGGTGCAGTCTGTAATATTTATTAGCTAGACTATCTTATATTAAGATCCTTTTGACATCTCAGCAGTTAAATTCTTAAAGGAATTTAGTTATCAAACCTAAGATAAAACTGCTTTATATTACATTCTAGTCCATAATGGGTGATGGCAATCATTTGAATCAGGTATTTTATGTCTGATGGCACACAATAGTATCTACTGTCCAAAAAGATTTCTTCTGACATAACTATGATATTTGATACATGGTTTATAAACTATATGTCTCTAATATTTTCTAATTCAACTTTAAACATCTCTTTCTGGGTTAGTTCTTAATTATTTGCTAGTTTTGTTTTAACTCCACAGAGGATTCTTGATGCACAGCTAGAGTTGGGAGCTCCTATCTTTTTGGAAGAGTTTATAATAGTTGTCAAGAGCTTAGGTTTGCTCTGGGGCCAACTGACCTGTGTTTCAGATCAAACACTTACTTTGTTATTTTTTTATTATGATCATTATTATTATTATTTTTTAAACCCTCACTTGTGGACATGTTTCCGTTGTTGTTATTATTATTATTATTATTATTATTATTATTATTATTTTTGAGAGGAAGAGAGAGAGAAAAACATTGATTGATTGCCAACCGGGGATGGAACCTGCCCTGACTGAAAATTTAACCTGCAACCTTTTGGTGTAATGGAACAATGCTGCAATCAACTGAGCCACCCAGTCAGGGGCTGCTATTACTATTTTTAAGCCTCATCTGAGGATATGTTTATTGATTTTTTTTTTTTTTTTTTTTTTTTTTTAGAGAGAGAGGAGGGAAGAGAGAAACATGGATGTGAGAAACATCAGTCAGTTGCCTTCCTATGGGCCCCAACCAGGCAACTAACCTGAAATTTAAGTATGTGCCCTGACCAGGAATCAAACCTGCAACCTTTTTAGTGTACTGGACGATGCTCTGATCAACTGAACCACCCAGTCGGAGTTTACTTTGTTATTTTGACAGGCTGTAAGAATGATCTGGGCAAAATAAATAAATAAATTTATATATTTAAAATATAACAAGTACATAATTATATAGTTTATATATTGCATTTTATGTGTGTAAATTACATACACTTAGTGCAGGGTTGTGTATGTAGGAAGCCAGTTATTAAAAGTGGTGATGATTAAATGCCAGAACAGGAAACTCTTTTGGGGGCTGGAGTGCTATTACATTTTTCTGTAACTTGAGTCTTACACTTTATCCTCTGATCTTCCTAGAATTCAATAAACAATCACTATTCACCTGATGTTTTCAGTTCTTTGGGTGTTTACTCATCAGTGAAAGAAGATGGTTGTTTTGTGCATCTTCTAAAGCTGTAGTTTTCAAAACGCAGGTTGTAGCCCATTCATTAGTGAGTCAAGAAATCGATTTAGTGGGTTACAACCAGCAATAAGACATTTTAGAATAAAAACTAAAATATCAGAGTGCACTGAATATAGAAAACAGTATTTTAAACTTGTTTCAATTTTAAAATGCTGAAATAAACAGAATGTATACACTTTATATGTATATTGATTGGATAGTTTTAGTTCCACTAAGTGTGTGCCTCCCGGAATCACAGATGTCTCTCAGGAGCAGTATTAGTTTTGTATTGTTTTGCCTTGCTGAGACATGAGTGGGATAGGCCAGTCTGTAGTTTCTAATGGTATGCACTAGTCTCTTCATCACCTTCAAGGATTCCCCCTAACATCCTCATCGTTTGAAGTGAAGGTTGTTACAGGACGTTGTCTAAGGAGTGGAGAATAGGACATAACAGGCATGGTTTTGGAGTGGCATTAATCAAAGCTGTTTTATAAAATAGAGTGATATGTATGTTTTAAGATTGTGTCTAAAATACAGTTTTTTCCTCAATAGAAAACAGACTAAAGATTTTTGGTAAATTGTTTCATAACAATGGAAATTCTACATTAGCTTTCTATACTTGGGAGTTGAAAATGGAAGAAATCTTTGCCAGAATAAAAGGCTAAAAGATAATAAGCACAATTCATTTTTCTCTGCAAGTTCTTGAAATTGAGTCAAATATACATAGTTCCTGCTCTGAACTGGGTCCGACATACCAAACTTAGAAATCCTGTTTTGAAATTACAAGAGATAAAGTAGTAACTCCCAACCAGTGAGTTCACTACCATGCTGATGGGTGTTTGTCTTTGCACCAGTGTGTACAGGCATATGTTGCTACTTTTGGTGGAAGCAGAGAACAAGAGTGTATGGATTCAGAGAAGGGGGGAGTTGAAGTCCTTTTTTCTATTACTTTGTTTCCCCAAATCCCCTCATCTCCCCCCCCCCCCCCCCAACCTTGTCTACTTCAGAGTATCCAATTCTTCCTACTCATATCAGTAGCATTGCTTGGTTTTTCATCATTATTTCAGCCCGGTTTCCGGACTTCATCATTTTCTACCTCATGCTGTTTATCCTGCTGAGAGTGCAGGGTTTCCTGCTGTCACTTTGTGGCAGTTGTTTCTTCAAAACTGTGTCCATATTCTTTGGTTACCACCAAGCAAAAGAACAATGTGCAATCTTTTTCTTTGTTGAAATTCCTGTGGAAAAACTAAGCCATGTAAGTATAGATTAAACAAGGGTTACTTGGAGCAGGTAGACTAAACTGGAGCCAATTTTCAAATCCCCTTAACTCCCTTCCCCTCAATTATATAAATTTTGTTTTATTGACTCCTGTGTACCTACCCCTGGGACTGGGACTAGTCATAGGAGGAACTCAGTAAATATTTGTCAAATGAATGAACTTTTGCTAATACAAAGTTTTTAAAATATCTGTCTGTCCTGTCATTACCTTCCTACTTCTTAATTTACATATGGAGAGACTGAGCAGACATTTAAGAAAGCAATCTTATTTTTTGAAATGATATTAATTTTTACGATTTTGTCATCACTGCTATTTTGTGAGTTGGGGTTTGTAAATCTAAAGAGAAAATTTGAGTGCATGATAGGTAGCACTGAATGAATATCATCCTTAGTCTTCACACAGCTCTCCAGTTGGTTAGACCTAACATTCCTGTTTTACAGATGGGGAGGGACTGAAGCTCTAGACCAGTGGTTCTCAACCTTCCTAATGCCGCGACCCTTTAATACAGTTCCTCATGTTGTGGTAACCCTCAATTTCATTGTTACAAATTGAACATAATTAAAGCATAGTGATTAATCACAAAAACAATATGTAATTATATATGTGTTTTCCGATGGTCTTAGGCGACCCCTGTGAAAGGGTCGTTCGACCCCCAAAGGGGTCGCGACCCACAAGTTGAGAACTAGACTAACTGCTCTAGACTAACTGTGAGTCTTAGAGTGTTTTGTTAGAAAAGACCTGGACTTTGGGGGGACAAAACTTGGAAATAGTTTATGAAATTATTCAACAGTTTTTTCTCATGGTAGATACTCAGTCGTGAGTTTTTGGTGTTTTGTTTTTTTTTTTTCAATAGGGCAAGAATGATTGTGATCTGTGCTCATATCCTACAGAAGAAAAGCTGTTGTTTGAATAAAAACATTTCCATGTTTGGGATTTCCAGATTTGGTTTGTTAGAAGGTAGACAGTTGCCCTTTAATGGACTCTAGACGCGCCATTACTCTTTTATTTCTCTTCTGCTTGTGGCTGACACTTGCTCAGCAATCTGTCTGTCTCTTTTACTGCTCTCTCATACTTCAGTGTTCTCTCTCTTTTCCACTTACCACCCCTCAGTGCCCTGTCCACATTTCTATGCAGTCTGAACAAACAAGAATATTTGTTCTAAATTCTTCCTGTTTAGAATAATATGGGAACAGTGCTTTTGAGTCTGAAAACTAGTTGAGGAGTGTGGTAACATAAAAGGTAGGTCCTAGGAAGTAGTCCAAAAGTGAAAAGAACTTACCGAGGATAGGTTGTGTTCCTCTTTCACAGTAAGCAGTTCATTGGTATAATGGCCAGACCACTAGTATTTATTCTTGAGGAATAGAACCAAACCAAAGTATTGGTGGATAACCAGGGGGAAAAATCAACAATTAAAATGACAATTTCAGATTTATACTTAGCATTGAGAATTTCTTAAATTTAGGTGCTATCACCATTTTAAAAGCCCAGAATTGTTAGCCACATCAT